TAATACTCAAGGTAACCCCACACCTGAGAAAATTGTGGCACAAATTACTTCAGACTGCCGAAGATATTAATTAAAGTAAAATATATTTATTAAAGAAAAGGAAAAGCAATATACAATAACTATTTTACCAAAACAAAACTAAAACTGATTGTTAAATGGAAGATGCATCAGTACAAGGTGACACGACGTGCGAAATACCTGGAACAAAACAAAAGTATGAGCGACCAGTTCCCCTAAATGCCATTTGTTTTATAGACCTTCACCAAAGTAAGCTTTTCTGTTTAAAACTACACTTTATGGGGCACATCGTGTCTGTCACCCACGAGTGCTAAACAACAACAAAAAGATGCCTTGCGGTGCAACGGGGTCAATGGTAAAAATAAAGTAACGGGTGAAAGGATTTTAACACGCTGTGTGGCTCAAACACTCCACAACAGTATCCTGTACGGCTCAAGCACTCCGAACAGTTCTTAATATTTATTTGCTTAACAATAGTTAAATATTCATTTTCTTTTTTTTTTAACAAACGTGTATATTATAAAATAAATGACTTAACTATTTTACACCTTCTGATATACCAACTTTAATCGCTCGCTTGACAATATGCCTTTATAAATCCAACCACCCTGTTGTTGTCCTTCTATATCCTCCACCACATATCTATCGCTTTCTAAAACTTTCGGTACAATATATGGGCCCCTGAATTTCGCCGCAAATTTTCGACTTTCCCCTGTAGCTGGTATCTATGCTTTTACTAGAACTGAATCCCCAACCTTGAATGATTTTACTTTATATTTTGGTTTACAAGGTCGAAATTGATTGCTTCGATTTTCGTCTAATAATTTTGAGACCTCGGTTAAATTAGTCCTTTCGCTATCCAGTTGTTCGTTTAATTGAACTATTTCGGTTGTTAACGGATTTTCGTGAAGACCCGCCTGTTTGCTTCTGAAAACTAACTCAAATAGAGTACATTTGGTTATGCGATGTACGCTGTTGTTAATACGTCGTATAATTTTTCGTCCCACGACCTGTCTCCTGATTCGCAATCCATGCTCGTGGATAAGCACGAAAGTATTGTTTTATTTAAACGCTCTATCTGCCTATTTCCTCTAGGAGTTCCCGCCGCGACTTTAACATGGACTATATTAAATTGCTGGCAAAATTCCTCGAACACACGACCGGTATATGCAGTATCCCGATCGGTAATTACGCGAAACGGTTTTCCATAATGGGATATGAACTCCTGTAAAATTTTACGTGCTTCATATGCACTCGTATCTTTCATTGCCTCCAAAACCGTGTATTTAGAAAACCCATCAATTATACCTATTATGTAAGCGTTCTTAGAATCGGTTTTTACGAACGGGTCTAAATGGTCAATATGTACCTACAGCATGGAAACATGAAGTCTCCTTTTCGAATAGATGCGCGTACCCTAAATGTTTTCCGGTTGAATCTTTGTGGTATAAGCAATATATACATCTGTTTATATATTGTTGTAAATTCTCTCAGTTTCGGAAAATAAAAGCATTCTTTAAGTTTATTGACCGTTTTATCAATACCCAAATGACAAAGTTTTTTATTAGTTTCACTAACTATATCATAGCGTAAATCTTAAGGTACATACAAACGAAATTTATTGTTGGTGAAGCGAAATACGCGCCCACCACACGGAGTAAACTTTTCATGGGTTTCTAAATCACCTTCCTCCAATTTTTTGCTTATTTCTAAAATTTCAGGATCCGTTTGTTGTAAAGCAGCAATCCAGTCCTTCGTAATGTTAATATGATGAATCGGTAAGCCTACAATCTCAGGTTCCACGCCATTTTCCACAGGATATCGGCTTAATGATTCTGCAACGACGTTAACCGATCAATTCTATATTGGTACTCCGAAAGTCGTATAAATCACCTACCAATTCGGGGGTTAAGGTCGCGTTTGCCCTGGAGTAATTTTAAGCTATTACAGTCGGTTCACTTACTAATTTGGATTTTATTTTGTCCATTGATTTTTGTTCAATGTCAGTCCAAACAAATTTCTTGTCTTTCTTTAAAAGTTCAGTTAACTGATGGATAATGGTTGCGAAATTTTTTACGAATCTTCTAAAGTAACTCGCTTATCCTACGAAACTACGTACTGCTTTTATGTCTGTTGGTATCGGAAAGTTTACAATACTATTTAGCTTAGCTTTACCTGGTGAAATGCCATCCTTACTGACTTCAAAACCTAAATAATCAATTTTCTTAACAAAAAAATTGGCATTTATTAATCCTTAGGGTTAAGTTATTTTCACGTAAGGTAATTAAAACTTGACGTAAATTTCGCATGCCTTCCTCTAATGTTTCGCAAGGAACAATTATATCATTCAAATATGCCATTGCGATGGTATATTTAAAACTACCCAAAATTAGATTGATAAATCTTTGAAATAGAGATGGAGCGTTACAAAGCCCAAAGCTCATACGTTTAAATTGATATGGGCCATCTGGAGTAACAAACGCAGTTTTGGATTTTGAATCCTCCTCCATTGTTATTTGATAGTAACCTCTACGTAAATCTACCGTTATAAAATACTGCTTACCGTGGAGCAGATCGAACTGATCATATATACGAGGAAAAGGATAACGGTCCTTCTTCGTGATACGATTCAATGCCCTGTAGTCTACACATAGCCTGAAATCTCCCGTTTTCTTCCTGACCAGGAGGCAAGAGCTAGTGAAAGGTGAAGTCGATTCTTCAATTATGTCCACATCCTTTAAGTCATTCACTACATTGTTCACTTGTTTGCGTTCATACACTGATAAACGATATGATTTGTAATATACCGGGTTATCACTTGTTAGTTCAATTTGCATATTTACCTAACTGTCGCGTATTTCGCGCAATCACATCTTTAAGTTCGTTAATTAGGTCCAAGAGATTTTCCGCGTCTTCACCTTCTAGGTCAGATTTAATTTGTCACTTGTCACTTCTTTTTCACTATTCACTATTTTCTTCACAATTTACTTCGTCGCAAATTTCACCCCGCGTAATAACACTCCCGTCTGTAATTTTTAACTCACTTTCGGCTAAAGTTAAAACTTCCAACATAGATTGTCCTTCATAAGGATCGGTCGTTACAACACATCTCGGGATTGCATGTCCTGTCTTCCTAATCCCTACTTCAATACATAGGTCGTAATTTGTTACGTCGGATTTTACCTTGATACGACCAACAAAATTGGCTGGTATTGTGGTCGTTTCTACTGCCCTTATTATTTCTTTTCTTGGTTCGAATAGAATCGTTTCACCTGAATTCTGGATAATTAATTCGCTGGATTTACTTATTATTATAATGTGCGTTTGTTCAGTAAACAGATGCCCAACGAGTGACGGGACCGTTTGTGAGTGATCAGGTACAACGTGAATTTTGACTTTGGCGGAAACATCGTCAATTGTCAACGTAGCAGTAAATAATCCCAAAGGTTTAACTATTTCCTTACCATACCCAACTAACGGTTGTGGTTCACATTCGTAGTAGGAAAAACCATATATCACACCTGTTGCATTTCGCTTATTTTTCAAAGAAATATTCGGTGATATTCTGATTACCTTTCCAACGGTAATTTTCCGCTTCAAGTGTTCAAGTTTTTGCGCTTTCAGATATTCGAAAAGTTTCCCTCAATGGTACTGTCCACTCGTACCAGGTTCTACTTGTGTCGGGGCTTATAGACTGTGAAGCCACTTTTTCGCCACTCCAATTAATTGTAGCAACCGGTAATGTTTGATAGTAACTTCATCCCATTCATACAATTCGCCGTACTCTTCGATCCATTGGTCAGTGGAAATGTTGTCTTTGACAACATCAAATTCTGGTAAAACATTCTGAATATTTGGAAAAAATCACTGACCTGTTTCTCGACCCTCACTACTTGTCGCCATCTCCATCGCCGTTGATGTGTTTTCAGGTAACCTCCCGGTTGACATTTTATTTATCACAGTTCTTCCCGTGTTACGATCTATCAGCAGGAATCACTCTCTACGCTCGCAGATCAACACTAGGATCCGTTTCTGATAAATAAAACCCACTAATTTAATGAAAACCACCACGCACGAATACTTTGAATCATTTCATACAGCTACCGAACAAGCTCTTATGAGTTTGACGGTAAATCAAACATCAAGACTAATGGTACACCTAACACGGTAAGTCATAAATTGACTGATACCATTAATTAAAACCACATGAGAATATTTTATGTTTACATAAAGATCACATTTGTATTAATAAGAATAAAAGAAACAATGTCTACTTTTATTCACCGCTATTTACAGAATGCCCGATGTATCTTTTTTTTATTCCATAAGTCTTGAGTGTGTCACGTTAAGTTTCCTTAGTGGGCCCCACAAAATCACTTCTTTGAAATCTTTGTTTATATACACCATCTCCAATATCAGCGGGCTGCTGAGGTAGCCGTTTTTGTTTATAGTATACAGACTTGAATTGCTAAAAGGGATGATAGGAAACTACTGTAAAGGTTGAAATTAAACTAAACAGTTCAAGGTTCAAAACGAATAACACTATATATTTTTCATAGTCCATACATCGACTTTTTATATATAACCTTTCATCGTCACGTCTTAGCATATAATAATCCAGTTTGTCATCCTGTTACAATTTCATCCACACCGCTCGTGTTGACCTTCCTTAGGTGCCTTTCCTGATAACATAACCCAAACATCGGCTCTCGATAGGCTACCAGGAAAAGCCCCTTTCTTATACTTCTTACATTCGGCCATCCTATTTTATCAAGCTGTCCTCAGATTGATCATTCTGAACCCCACCATAGTGTGGTTCAAAATCATCTTCCGACTGGCTTTGTCCACTATCGTCATCTATGAAACAAAATTGAATTAGTAAGAAGTAAAAACATCATAAGAATAGTAGTTGGACTCATTCAACACTTTCACATTATAAGTAGGTAGCACTTGGCAACCATTGTCGCCTTAACATACGTGACCTTGTGTTACAGTAGCGCTCGCTACAAGACAATAATTGTGCTCTAGTTTAAGTGATCTTATATGTCACAGTAGCCATCGCTACAGAGCAAACATTAGATCATTCCTTTGAGTGATTTTGGTAGCCATTGCTACGTTTTCATGACATCCCTTTGTCACGTTTTGTTTTACTATCATCATTATACACATGCGTACATATGTATTTTCATTCATTCTTTTTGAATTTTTGATTTTTGATTTTGTGTCGTTTCAACATTAGCTAGCTAGCCCTGTAGGGTACACATACATTGATATTGACCACTTTGGTCAATGACACATTTGCTACCTATTCTTTTGATGAATCCTAATAATGTTTGGCCCTTGCCAATAATATTGTGACCATATGTCACTCTCATAGCCCTTTTTTTTTCATTTGCACACGTCCATATGCCACAATCATACATACATAATTAGTGTGTGTTTTCATAATGTCATCCTTAAAATTGTTCATATTTCATTTATTCATTCATTATTATCACAGACATACTCTCATTTATCCTGAAAACTATTACTATGTCACCCTCATAGCCCCTTTTTTTTTCATTTGCACACGGCCATATTTCACAATCATACATACATAATTAGTGTGCGTTTTCATAATGTCATCCTTAAAATTGTTCATATTTCATTCATTTGTACTTTCACTTTAGCGTATCACAGACATACTCTCATTCATCCTGAAAATTATTACTATTATTATTATTGTTTTTTTTTTTTTTTGAAGAGG